ATATATATATATATATATATATATATATATATATATATATATATACATACATACATATACATACACACACACACACACACACACACACACAACTGTGGGGGCCTGACTCACAGATGAACACAATACAGAAGCCAGATGACGGCAGATGAGATTCTGCCGAAATGTTGCTACAACTTTAAAAGCACAACTACAATGACGTGGGAAAATACCCGAACAATGCTGAATGCCATATATGTAAGTACCCGCGAAAACTTAAGAAAACAAATACACACACACACACACACACACACACACACACACATATACATATACATATACATATACATATACATATACATATACATATACATATATATATATATATATATATTTGTTTCTTTTAGTTTGTTTTATAAGCATTATAGCCTGTCCTCCCTCCCCATGCTGGCTTCAGTCTGCACCCAAACTTTAAAGATGTATTGGTTAAGACACCAAGCTATAAACCTAGGTCTGCTTAGGCATGAAGCCTGCAGAGTGATTTTAGTCTCAGTCCTAGAAGGAAGATCAGGGCAAGCCACTTCTAAAATTTGCCAAGAAAACTTCAGACTAATTCAAGAGGTCAACAAGAGTCAACACGTACCTGAACTCACACATACGCAGAAATATTGGAACCACAATACATTACATCAAAGCACCAGAATTTAACAAATTTACTTCTGGCACAATGAGCCAATCCATCACTAATATCTTTGTTTCCCAATCATTCTAATTAACAGAAAAAAACTATCTTTTTAATCCAAAAATACTCTATCATATGTTTTCGGCATCCATATCACCCTCTCCTGCGTTTTAACAAATCTTGGTAGCACTCAGGTCCAGAAGCAATAACATGCTTAGTAAGATTAACTTTGTTAAACAAGCTGTTTTGGGGCTTCCTTTTTGTCAGTAAAGAGCATCTTATTTTCTTAAGACCTTTAGAAAGTCAAAGATACAATCTATCAGAACTCATTATCTGCAATCTGATCATTTTCTCTCAATCCCAATTTAACATTGCTGAAATAAGATATTTTAAACTGATTTCCTTGTATGTTAAAATGTGATCAGCACCATGACCTTGTTAAAAAAATCAATTTTTTAATAAGTGAGCTGGCTGAAAGAAACTTGGAACCTATCAAAAATAGAAGAAAACATCTTCTTTTAGTTTCCCCAAACCACTTTGGACTTTTAATGATCCTAATAATCTCAAATCACTTGTTTAGGAGACTTCAAAACACTATATAATTAAGCTTTTAAAAATACTTGCATCGAGCAACTCCCATGTATTTTGTTTTTGTTATTAGAGATAATATGCAATTGTAAGAAGAGGTTTATTGCAGTTTGGCTATGACACTTGATTTTCAATATCTACAGTACACAGACTTTTCCCTGCATTATTAAAGGGTTCATTTATTTTATGCTGATACTTCCTCCCTCCATATTAACACTTTTTAGAATTGTAGACATTGCTTGGATGTAAAAAGCACAGAAATAACAATCCTTTTAATCTTTCTGTCTGAACTGAAAGATAAATATAATTGTGAAGTCAGGTTTATCTCCGTAATATGCACCCAGCTGCAACTTCTGTTTTTTTTTTCCCTTGAACTTGAATGGAAAAATATAAAATACACTGTCAAGAACGGAATGAGCCATCATTCCAAAATTCAGGATCATGACCTGTTGATGTCTCCAAATCTCCCCATCACAGTAAAATCTTGGTATGTGGAAATCATTAAGAAATTTTGTGTCTCGGTGACTAAATTTAAGTTGTATATTGGTATGCTAAAGAGCATTCTTGGTGTGTACTCTTTCTCTCAACCAAGATGGAAAAGTGTTCATTATTCTTTTCTTTCTGATCAGTATCTTTTTAAAAAATAAAGATAAAATCTCCCTCAAAGATCAAACTCAATTCCTGATAACTTCCTGGAAGTGGAATTACAGAATGGGAAGTTTAAGATGGACTTGGAGATCATTTAATCCAGGGTTGTCAAACTTGTGGGCCGCAGGCTGGATGTGTCATACGCTGGCCATGCCCACGCCCAGTTTAGCAAAAGGAAAAAGTCATGATACATCATGTGATGCCATGACAACACAAATTTGACACCCCTGATTTAATGATAACAGGTAACAGATAATCAGAGTTGGAAGGGACCTTGTAGGTCATCTAGTCCATTCCCCCGTCCAAGCGGGAGACCCTACACCATTTCTGAGAAATGGCAGTCCAATCTCTTCTTGAAAATCTCAAGTGATGGTACTCCCACAACTTCCGAGGGCAAGGTGTTCCATAATGACTCATTGTTCAGTTCAGAAATCTAATCCCTATCAGAAGGAAATTCTGTTTCTTTTTAAATAAAACAGCTGTCCAATCTTTTCTTAAAATGGCTGTCCAATATTGCCAATAAAGTGAGACCAACACTTCCCAAGGTCATTTTGCTTCTTTGTGAAATAGCTCGAACTGCTAAGAATTTTTTCCTCGTGTTCAATTGAAATCTGCTTACTTTCTGCCTATTCTTCCTTGTCTTCTCTTGTGGAACGAATCTCCTTAGTTATTACACTCATGTCCCATTTCCTTTATATCTTTCTTTTAACTCTTAAGTCAAAAGATCCTGGGGTATAAAGAGTTGTTTTTTTCTCACCGGTACAGATGGTGATTGTACTTCTAGGGTTTTATTTTTCAGAAATCCCCAATTCCTCTTTGCTCTCTTTGACCTGAGGATTTCTTCTGAGACCCTAACATTTCTCTAGTTCAAGTTGGCTGTTTTGAAATCTAATGTACATTTTTGTAGAATCCTGAACTTCAAGATAATGGGGTTACTTCATCCTAAAATTATCACTACTCAACCCTTCATTAGTTAGAATCCAATCTAGGAGGGTCAATCCATTGTCTATTTCAGTTGTTCAGGAACAATACAAAAGTGGTTTGTCCTTGCTTTTGATTTGCCAATCTAGTGTACAGTTCTTGAATTTAAAGCATGAGAACATCTCTCCCTAAAATTTTGCTTTGATTAGTATTGGTTGACTGGTTTACCTCACATTCATCAAGCTTATCAAACTTTGAAAAAATGATAAAGGCAATTCAAATGTATGTTGAATGAGAGGATTTTTTTATTATGCTTAGTGGACATGTAAAAAAAAAACTTTAAAAATGTACTTTCAAATATGTACATTTACTCAGAAGATTTTAAACATTAACAAACAGCTGAAGCCAGAGATGATTCTTTTGAGATTAACAAAAAGTTATAAAAAAACTTGTGGAACTATATATGAAAACAGAAGCAAGACTTTTACATACACAACAGTGAAAAAATCTGACATTGCCCACAAAGGAAAAGTAATGATGAAAATGAACTTGCTCATATGGCTAAGTTCAAAAACCTTGATTAGAGAAAAGACACTGATTAATTCTGATTGGAAACCCTTTTGGACTTTTGGCAGGGTCCAAAAGAGTTTCCAATCAGAACAGAGATCAGAACAGAAAAACAGAACAGAAAAAAAATGAAGTTATGCTATATGGGTTTGATGATCCAAAAATAAATAAATAGATAGAAAAATATGTTACGTTGCAACCATAGAGGTCATTTTAAATTTATAATTACTGTAGAAGAAAAATCAGAATCACGTCTTTATATTTCTTTCCCTTTTTTTCTACACTTTCAGCTTCATTATTTCTTTACTTTTTCTTTTTTTCTCATCTTATTAGTATCAGTTTTAAAATGCAATAAAGTTAACATAAAAAAGTTTCAACTGGAAAAATTATTGAAAAAGATTGTTTTTTGCCTAGTTACAAACAAACTGCAAGTTTTGTCTTTAAGACTTTTCAAGAAGCAAAATTAATGATTGATATGCACAACTTCAACACAGAATAAAGGAAAGTCTCATATTCTCTGTTCAGCTTATTTCATTCAAGACAAAATTAATGTTATTAAAATTTACCTACATAAGCTATGCTCAGGATCATTATTTCTATTAAGCAAGCATAAATATTGATTTTTATGTGTGAAAGGGATATAAACGGACACAGAAGCAATATGCATTATGTCAATAACCCATTTTATTTGTGGTAGCTCACATATCTCATTCATACTAGTTTATGAAATACAAGGTAGATATAAGATAGGTGCTATTATTTTGGCTCACTTATTCCTTTTTAGACTTTCAACTAGTCAAGAAATGCCATCCCAATACAGCTCTGGTAAGAAATTTTGGGCAATGTTTGAAGAGGGTATTTATCATCAGTTAAGATTATACGAGCACTGTAACTCTCCCAGTTTCAACCTAATCACTGACATTAGAATGAAAATAAATAAATTGGAATTCTGTGCCTTTATCTAAGGATTTGCACAGAATTACTTAACTACCAGTAATTTTTTGAAGGCTGAACTGATAGGAACTGAATTTTCTGATGGAGCACTAACGATTGTTGACAGGAATTGTTACTATCAGTCAGAATAGATCTCTTCAGAGACCCCATTTGGCTAAATTAGACATCGCAGTAAGTAAAACTAACCAGGATCATTCACATATTGCATGACTTAACTCACCTTCCAATTCTTCTTGGTCGCCCTTGTTTTACCAATAATTTCCATTACCCTTATTTCATCAATAGCACAAGTAAAAATATTCTGTAATTTCTCAGTTCCCCCACCCATTGAAAAATATGCCACTTTCCAATCCTCTACAAGCACAAATCTTAGATATTTTTTCTAAAATAGTAATTGAACATTTGATTTAAACATTGGGTAGTTATCAGAGATTTATGATTACCTGACTTTCATATTCCCAAATATTTGCCAGATGTATTTACTGGACAAGCATTTGAACAGGCATTAAATCATTTTAGTAGATAGAATCGCAATATATTAGTCACTTGGCTACTTTTTGAGCACAACACAATTTTTTGCTCCAAAATCATAAGCTCTTGCAATTTCAAGGTAAGGGCTTGCAAAACTATATTTCATATGAAAATCGAATTCTGTTCCATGGTATTCCCCGATATCCAGAGTTGAAAGAAGCAAATGAATGGTCAAATTGTACATGACCAATTTACTTTTAGTATAACTTATTTCAGTCATGAATGCACTTCAAATAATGTACTGTTTCTCAATTCTACTTTAAATTACAAGCTAAATATTTGAATCATTAATTACCTCGAAAATGCAGCTACATTTTCAGCTAATGTTTGTTGATCATCAGCCCCAGACTTATAGTAATCGTACACAGATTTTTGAAGAAATTTCTTAGCATATTCTTCGAAATCAGCAATGCAAATTGGTCTCTCAGACATGATGTAGCTTACTTTGTTTTGTCTTTAAATAATTTAGTTCTGGTAGTTTTCAACTTGTTAATCATTAAACTAAAGCAAAGTTCAGAAAACCTTTTTTTAAGTAACCCAAATAAAATGGACATTTCTGGAACTATTCTTTTGGACTTTGACATTCACTAAATTAAGATGTCTCCACTGTGTATCAGAGAAGAAAATACGGAACAAAGCAATATATCAACAGTATATAGTGAATATTCAATAGTGGCACTTTCCACAATTAGAAAGACAAATCACAATAGCCCACCCCAATCTCATGCCATCTCTTTACTCGTGTAATTTGTCTATGATTCTATCTAGAACTTCATTTTTTAAAAAGGAAAAAACAGTAACAAAGGAAATTATATTCCAGATTCTTTAATATATAAATTAATACACAATGGTTCTATAGCTGAACTACCACTAAAATGTCTTCTATAGTGTATTCCAATGTAAAAACATAAAGACACATAATTACATAAGCGTTTATCTCTCCGTATCCATCCACTTCCCCTTACAGCTAATGCACTCAATCAGATGACCCAGAGGTGCTACAGATTAGAGTTGGAAATATTATCAATCAGCTAGTGGAGAGCAATGGTGGCAACCCAGAGAAGCTTGAATTCAGAGATTCGGGACTTCTGGTTGGTATGGGTAAGTCCCAAGAAGCAAAATTGGCCAAGTAGTAGAGGTGGAGTTTGGCTTTTATCCTCATCTGCAAAACAGCCTGTCATTCTGGACAGAGGCCATTTTGTCTTTTACAAATGGCGGTGGCTGCAGACGAAAGTATCCACTTGTGTCACTTTTCAGCAGGGTGTGCCCAAGGATTCTTCTGCAACAGCACTGAAGGACTTGGAATGAGAACTGAAAGGAGTTTCAATCAGTATTCGGAGCCAGCTGATGAGATCACCTAGATTTCATCTGGCTGTTATGTGGAAGAGGGGCTATAACTTTCTGGGTTGGTCCAGCCAGTGCGGTGAGTGCCTATTTTGCCCCTCATAACCTCCCCCCCCCATGAGAGTGGGGGAGGGGATTTGGGAGTGTGGTATGGATGTGTGGTGGGAATGCAGCTGACTGACAGATCACTGCATGTTAGATCAGAAGCAATTCACAGGAACTGGCTACCCAAAGAGGGAGAAAGATTGCTAATTTAGGCCTGGATGGAGGCCTTTATTAATGGGTTGGGATGGTACAGGTCAGGGAGATTTGGCCTTAGACAAGAGATAGGGCAAAGCTGGCTGGTCCTGGGGAAGATATTTCAATGTCTCCAGTTGATTCCAAGGTTATTTCCTTAGGCCTGGTTAGCAGACCTTGGTTTCTAACTACTGCTATTAAATGCCAGGTTGACCAATAATTAAGCCTCTCTTGTTCTTGACTTCATGTGTATAAGAGGGCTGACTTGGCATGTATAACCAAGACCAGGTTGGGTGTCCCTATTAAATCAGTCAGCCGTGAGGGCTGAATGGACCCTATTTGGTTCCAAAGGAAATTCGGGATTAATCCTGAGACTCTGGTACATGATGATTAAGGTCTCAGTCAGTGCCCGGAAAACCTCCTGGCTTTCAGAGGATTTCTGGAAACTGAAGCAACAGTTGAGATAGAGTATCAGGGAAGGAAGATGAGGGATGAATGTGATTATAAACGCTAAACACCTTAAATAAACAAACATTAAGTGAACACAGAAATATATAATAAATACAGTTTATAGTTAATAAAGCAGCATGTTAATATAAATGTTTTACATAGAATTCATGTCAAATTAAACTAAAAACTGAGTAAGTTTCATTTAAAGTAACAATTAGAGACATAAATGGTAATGTTGCTTTTTAAAATTTGATGAAAAATAGCAACGTCTGGGCAAAGAAGTTTACTTGCCAAATATTAACTCTTTTAAGAATCTTCAAATGAATTTGTTTACTCTACTTGCTGCTTTTAAAAGATAAGCATCTATACATTCAAACTTATGAACAGAGGTTATAGTGACCACTGTTTCAAAATCATTTCACGTTTTTCTGTATTAACCCCACCCCACCCCAAATTTAATAAATTCTTTTGGAATGCTTTGCAATCATCTTTATTATAAGCTTAAACTTAAAGCAGTGGTTTATATATACACGTAAACATCAAGACATCAACTCTCTAAGCAAGAATAAACTGAACTGAAATCTTATGAACTAAATTCTTATACTTTACCTTGTAAAAAAATGGAAGACAAATAAGGAAGACTGTGAAAAATATACCGAGAACTGTCATACTGAGCACAGGGCATTTAACTCTGAATTTTTTACTCAACCTGAATCTTTTACATTATCAAAAAAACATGCTTGGTCATATTAGTAAAGTTCAGAAGTTTAAGAATCAGATCAAATAACTAGCTAACAACTTATCTTTTTGATGCTTTTAACAGCACAAAAAAAAAATGCTAGCAATGCAGATGCTGCACTATCAGTTTCTTTAACTGTGCTACATTAAGATTCTCAAACATGTATTTTTTTAATGTAGTCACAGCAGGCTAATTATGTACATTTAAACATTTATTTGCTTCGAAATGCTTCCCCCACCCGGAGCACTTAAATCTATTTGCCTTATATTCTGTAATATTAACAAAGTGCAATGGATAATTTTAAACTTTTTAAACTTGTTTAAAAAGGTCTTTTACTAAGCAAATTGTACAGATGTTAGGACTCATTTTAGTGCAATAAAAGGTTAACAAAAATTTGAAAATAATATTCTAATCAACAGAGGACACAACTGACAAATATTATGACAGCATGCACATAAAGCAAATATAGTGCTTTATTTTTACTACTCTCGTCTCAGCCTATCATTTCTTAGGCTTAAAAAATCTCTCAACCTAAAAGTTGAATAGCATGTTCAACAATGATCCTGACATTCATTTTAATTTGCTGGATACCTCTGAAAATAATTGCCTCTAAACACAAAGGGGAATAACACTATAACTATAACACTTCTTTGATAAACTTAATTCATCATAATGCATTCAACACTTACATAACCTTACAAGGGAATACTGATACTTATATGATTACTTCACATATCTATACTATACAGAACTTTGATAAGTATGGGACGGAATAAATACTCTGATTATTGAGGACAAATTAAAAATCAATTTATGCATCCAGACATTCTGTTTGCATTAAGAAATTTGCAATATTTTTTCAGGTGTCTCCTGGATTGTGAGTTGAATTGTAATGCATAAAAGAATCAATGTTATATTAAAGCAGTATTGAGTAAATACAACAATTCAGATCCTGAGATATTGACTTGACAGATTAATATTGGGACAATGGATATGAAACTGATTGTTGTACGAAAGCCACATCCATATTTAAAAACCCTTTCCTGTCTTTCAAGAAAGGATGCTGAAAGTAAAACCTTGCAGCTTGTAAACTATATTGTAAACATAGTTCTTGTTATACTATGATCTCCCCTGAAGCACACATCATAGCTCTGAAGCCTGTAGGAAATACCTTACGTAACTAGAGCCAAAGACCTCTGTGAGCTATGAAGAGTTATCTGTTCAAGCACATAAAACAGTAAAACCTTATCACTGTCTTAAGCTGCCTTCAGTCCTCTAGATTTTTGTCTTCAACTGTACATTTTGGAATTAACTTGTACCAGCAAGCCTCAAAAAAACTTTCCTTGTTTTATACTTAATTCTGCAACACAGACAATTTGCAGTTATATAGAATGACCACTTCATAGAGTTTATGGTATGGCTGATGCAATAAAACCTCTTACCTATCCCTGAACTCAACATGGTTGCTTGATTGTCATGTCTCTGATTTCAACATTAGTCATATTTTACATTCAAAATATTGACCTTAAAAATAAAAACAGATGCTTTCTGGCAGTCAGCCTATGTTTAGCTGCAACAGCTTATAAGTCAAATATTTGGCTTCAGCTGCAAAATGAAGGTCCCAATCTTCTTTGGTCCATTTAAAAGTATATTCTCAATTACTTTCACTATAGTTCAGGCTCCATCGGATTTTTACGTTGTCTTAAGGAGGTCTCCTCTAACTTGTCAGACTCAAAAGGCTCCGAATCATTTTCTCCCTCACATCCTTCAACTGCGGAGTCATCTGAGGAATTGGGTTGAGACTCCTCTTCTCCCTCTTCTTCGTTTTCTCCAACAGACAAACCCTCTTCTGGCATTTTGCCCCCTGCTGAAAGCTCCAACAATTGCTGTTGATCTTCTGTTTTATTCTCATCAGAATCTACAGAATCTGAGGTAAAAGAATGGAGGAAAGAAGAGATAGGCTTTTGTACAAACGGAATATTTTGTTAAAGTGCCAGCTTTCAGAACTAACCCTTGTGATTCATTTCCCTGAGCTTCTTTACCTCTGTGTTGAATTACTTACAGACTATAATGTTTGGATATACACAAGTCAGGCCAAAACAATTTCATTATGATTCAGCATGAAGTTTGAATCCAGTGATAAGGTTATTTATCAGAGTTGAAATTAAGGGAATACTCAAAACAGGTTATTATTCAGAGTGGCGTATTGCCATACTATTTGAAAATGTGTTCTACCTCCATGTAAACACACTGGACTATTGCAAAGCACTCTTTAGGGGGCTGCCCTTGTTGGTAAGCTGCAGGTGATCCAGAATGTAGTAGCATGAGCACTAGTTGGTGCATCTTGGTATGCCCATGCAACACCACTGCTGAATGAGCTGCCTTGGCCCTCGGCTCCTAGCAGGCTTCCAGGTGCAATTCAAGGTACTGGCTTCTACCTTAAAGGCTTACATTGCATGGGGCCAGATGACTTGTGGTACAGTCTATTCTTAATGGTTTCCACCCTCCTACTAAACTGACATGGTGGGCGTGCTCCAGGTCCCCTCAGTAAAACAATGTTGTGTGGTGGGAACTTGGAAGCATGTCTTCTCTGTCATGGTGTCTGTCCTATGGAACAGCCTCCTGTTAGAGACATAGGTGGTCCTGGTCCTGTTGACTTGCAGGAAAACCGTGAAGACTTGGCTTTACCTCCAGGGCACTGGGCCAAGATGTTGATGGACCTGGCACTACTATATGAATGCAATTTTTTTTCAGGACCACAGCATAGTTTATTGTTTGTTTTAAGGGGACACTTTCAGTATAATATATTTTTATTCTGTTTGCTATCGAGTTCATTCCGGGAAACTATATACAAACATTATAAGCACCAGCATTGCTCTTCATTATATGTACATACCAAAGCTTTCTTCTTTGGACTTAGCTGGACACATGCAATCTATAAGCAAAACAAGTATCTGAAAGAAAGAAAGAAAAAAAAAAGTACTGAAAAACTAACCTAGAGAATTTCAGATATGGTCAAATAGGCCCAACACTATTGATATCTGAGTGGCTTGTAATTATGTTGCACTTAAATGCAAAATATCCATGTTTTTCTGCCAATGAAAGTCATGAGCTGTGCTAAAGAAAGCCATAGATCAAAGTTCTCTCTAAATGTTTATTTTTACAATCTTCAGTTATTTCTAAACCACATAAATCAGAACTTTTCAGAATCCTTGACAAGGTCCTGATGCAGTGCTCTAACAGTATATAGAAGTTCTAGAGTATAATTTCTCTAATGATATTTTTGTTTTGTGTTTTAATTGGTGGTGTACAACTATAGCGAAATACACCAATAATTATATAATACAAAAGAAGGTACATATACTATACCAATCAAAATAAAACAAACTTAAAAGATAAAATCCAAAAATCCATTTGATATCAGTATATCTAAGCCTCAATGTCTGCTTATACTTAAAACCACAGAAACATGCTGCGCCATCTTTTCGCTTTTGGAACATAAGGACATTTCAAAAACAGATTAAGTAATTTATAATAAATCTATTCCTTGATATCAAAAAGATAAAGTTTCCTTCAGTTTATATAAAATTATCCTCTTTGCTATATTCCAAGTTTAATGAGCGAAAATTCATCATAAAATTAAAATTAAAAATTAAACATTACACCTTTGACAATAATATTTCTTTTCAAAATTTATTAATGTATGAAATACTAATTTCTCTTGAGTTTTATAATTCATAGACCAGGATCACTTAGTTGATAAAAAAGTAAAGCTCCAGAGAATATAGACCAGGAGTTTGAGAGATAATTGTTTACCATTCTCATGAGATCAAGAGCACCAGAAACAATACAGGTTTTTGATTACTATTTTCCCTGACAGCATAGAAAGTTTTGACCTACCATTAATTTTTCCACAATTCCCCAATATAGTAGGAATACCAATATCTTCTTGATCTATAATGAATTCTTTAGATGATACCATTTACTGTGCTTGTTATCAATACATTATTCCCATTTTTTTACACCTTGCTTTAAGAGTATAAAACCATTTTCTTACCAAAGCCAAGATAAGACCAATCAGAAGGGTGGCTAATATGAAGATGGCATAAGAAACCCAAATATGAATCCCAAGAGTGCCAGTAAAATAGTTGTGGATTTGCTGCAACAGAAACATAATTTGAATTGAAACTGCCGTTCCATTATCTATCAGTTATTGTTTGGAATGACAATATATCTTCAAATCTTCACACACTCTCAAAATGTAATTTCAGAAGCATACAGTTTTGTTTCATTTTGACTTTAAGAGGTTTGAATCAATTTCACATAAATCATTTACAAAATCAACATCCTTTATAAAACTATCATTGGCTATATCTTCTGTGGGTATTAAGTAGTGCCAGCTGGGATGTATACCTACGCTCAGCATTTGAGGTGGGGTTTTTTTTAAAACAGAATACCATGGTTTTTAATTTTTTTTAACATTAATTTTCAGATGAGGTACACCCCACAAGTTTTAACTTACTAATAACTGTTGAATTCAATTTATTGAACAAAACATTTTCACGTCTACTCTAATTTCTCACAAGACACACTTCACACTCACCAATACAGAATGAGATTATTCTGATTTTAAAGCTTAGGTAACTACAGAAAAACATAGGATCCGTGCATACATAAAATCAATGGATATTTTGAGCCTATTCAGAGAAGTCTTGCTGTGCTTGTTTGTTGTTCTCATTAACATTCCAACTGTTGGATTCCCAGGCTTATAAGTAGCATTAATATTAGGACTTCTATTTCTGAATACAATTGATACCATTGTCTAAATAAGTACAGGTAAACAGCAACTGTGTATTTTGTTCTGTATGTTTTAGACCAGGGCTCCCCAATCCTTGGTCCATGGCATGCCAACAACAGGGCTGCACAAACAAGTGAAGCCCAATCCACAGGATGCAGGCAGCATGCAAAACCTTGTTCCCTCTGGTCCGCGGAAAAAAATGTATCTATGGAATTGATTCCTGGTGCCCAAAAGATTGGGGCAGTCACTCTTTTAAACTCCTAATAATCCTAATAACTTCTGCCAGCAGCTCGATTCTCACTAGCTCAATGTTGGCTCAGCCTTCCATCCTTCCAAGGTTGGTAAAATGAGGACCCAGATTGTTGGGGGCAATAGGCTGTCTCTGTAAATCTCCTACAGAAGCTGTAAAGCACTGTGAAGCAGTATGTAAGTCTGAGTGCTATTGCTATTAATACCTTCTAAATCAGGGGTGTCAAACTTGCAGGCCGCGGGTTGGATGCATGATGTGCTGGCTTTGCCCCCGCCTGGTTTAGTGATGGGGGAAAAAAGTCCCGATATGCCATGTGACATCATGACGACGCGAGTTTGACACCCCTGTTCTAAGTGGAAATTTATGAATTATATAATTAATTTAAAACACTGTATTGAAGAATTCATAAATCTGTTGGAGCTTTTACCCATATGGCAGAATATGGAGTGTTGATATGCAACCATGTTGAAATCTTGCACCCCATCATAAAACTTACAAAATTTCAATTATTTATCACGATTTGGACCAAAGTTTTAATAGTTTGATCTATATACTTTCCATACTGTATAAAGAAACGTAAGCTGTATGATTATTGAGAAACATGACAGACCTTTAAAAACCAAGCTCAGGTATAAAGTTTTTCTGTATTACTAAAGATACATATTGCTTACTTACTCTGATCCATCCAGACAAATGGAAGAGTCCTGCCATTCCATACATCCTAATAAGAATCAATATAAACACGATCACTAAAAATAATTAAAGATTGAAAAAGCGTGTTCCCATTTGTTCTGGGATTACTATTCTATTATTTTTCATTGTTCTTATTGTTATTTGATCAAAAGAGATACAATAATTTAACTATGGAAATAAAAGAAAGTATGGTGTTTCTCTAACCAACCTTTAAAATAGTTACAGAATGAATTAGTAAAACAAAATTATCAGATTTTTATCACACTGTTTCATCTACATTTATACAGAAAATCTTTATCATAATGAAAACACTTCACACAAGATATAATAGCAATCTTCACTAACCTGTACTCTATAGGTACCTTCTAAATACTTATATTCCATATGTCATCACCACAACCAATGACTACCTGCTGTGATTTTTATTCCCTAAAAACATGGACCTACAGCTCAAAATTAAATGCAAAGTAAATACCTTCCTATAATCCTGAAAGCACTGGACAATCTCTACCAGTAGATGGCAGAGCAGAATGAAACATAAACTACCGCAATAAGTCACCCTGAAAGTTAAAAAGTGCAAACAATGTTCAACTGGGAATTGCTATTTTCAGCTAAGGCTGCATTTAACCTAGGATGAAATTCCAATCTGGGACACAATATTGCATTATAATTACATTAGAGATGTGGGAGACTTCCATCCTGCCACAGGTTCTACACTTTCCCATTTTCTCTCCAGGATATAACTCTCTAGATCCTCCAATGTCTTCGAGCCACGGTATCTGCGAAAAACTCCATCCTTTGCACTGAAAACAGATTAAAGTATAGTTACACTACTGAATCTAAAACCTTGTTACTCTCCAGTGTACCAGAGCAGCACTCATACAAATTAACAACTTTTACAGACAACCGGATCTTTTTTATACTATTTTTCTCTACATCCTTAAAAGTATTATTCCACTTGGGGAATTGGAAAGCGGGAGGGGGGGGGGAAGAGATGAAAATAAGCAAGAGAAAAAAGTAATAAGGAGATGTATTCAGGAAAAAAACAAAAAAAAGTTCCTTTTATTCTTATTACATACAACTCAATCACCTAATTACTTGTTTTAGGTAGCTATCATAGCACGTTTCCTCTGGGCCAAAAATCTAACTTGTATTTTCCAAAGGATACTGGGGTATATACACCCAGGAAGAACCTTAATTTACTATCTTGCCCATTTTTTAATAATTAATCAAAATAATCTGATTAAAAAAACCCACTGGACCCGATTGAAGGGAGAGATATTGCAGAAATGCACAGTGAATTTCATTGTGGTTTGTTTATGAGAAGTTACTGGTGCCTTAGATTCAGGGATGGGATCCGACCAGTATAACTACCGGTTCTGTTGCTCTGCGTCGCGCGCACATGCGCGAGTCGCGCAAGTGCAATTTACGACTTGAGCTGCCCAGACAGCTGAGCGTGCGGGTGCACAGCAGTTGGAAAAGCCCTTTTTTCCTGCTTTTTCAACCGCAGCTGAGGTTGAAAAATCAGGAAATAAAGGTCAGGTAAGAGCCCGGGCGGATGGGCAGGCAAAAACATCAGCAGACATAGAACCGATTCTATGTCTGCTGCTCTTCAGAACTACCGGTTCTACAGAGGTGGACAGAACCGGTAGAATCCCACCCCTGCTTACATTACTACTCATTTTCCAGTCACAGCAGGCTCGCATTATCCATTTTACGAAGGACAGCAGGAAGCTCCCTGTTTAGATCATAATTTTCTTCTGAAACTAAAACATCTTGCTTTCTACTGTGGCTAATCCTACTTATTTTTCCATAAACATCATGTGTCCAAAATGCCATCTATGAAAAACTTCATCATTTCCTATTAGTGTCTCTATCCATTTGACTTTTTAAATTGCAAAAATATCTGAACTTTTTTAAAAATGGGAAGCTGGCAGACTCCAAAGTATTAGTCTCTAGCATTAGTCTCTAGAATGCAGTTGGATATTAAATGGCCTGTATAAACGTTGTTATAGAAGTAGCAGTCTGGTCACAACATATTTTGTAATTGCTTAGATCTGCCAAAAAAGCTATTATATTCAACTATTTTTTTCTCCAAATCTTACATGTTCCCAACACTCCGCTCATCAAACTAAAAAGATCTCTGCAATAAGATTTTTTTAAAGTTTGCATTGCTTTCCAATGTAATTGGCATATATGGGTGCTTTTTCCTTAGCTTCATCGCATATTTTACTCTGCCACACAAACAAAAGGAAACATTTTCAATTGCAATTGTAAATAGCAACTGTTTTCAGAGTAATTAAAATACATACTTACTGGTAAATAGTGGGAAGAGTAGTGACTAAGAAATGGCCACTTACACCTGAGGAGAATAGATACTTGTTTTAAATAGCACATCTTGCTTCCTACACATAATCATCATCTGACAAACACTTTACAATTAAGAGCTCATTTTCATATTCTACACATTTTGTGGGAGTTGGCAACTTACAGTCCCATGGCTTCGCATAAATAACAAGAACTCATTTGGTCTACTTTGGATCCCCTTAACCAATACTGGTAAAAATGTAAATTATAATTAAAGAGGTCAGGCACTGAACGGAAACAAGGGAAAGAGAAAGGAATCCCAAGTATTAACAGAATAGAATTTTCCTAGTACATTTCAGAAATATTCAAGGGCAATTTTAAAATATCCATGAGAAAACTTTGGCCAAGCACACAAGCTGTTAGTTCACAGATAGTCCAGAAGCATCTTGGAAAAAGAATACATTTTCTGACTTAAGTCACACCAAATAAAACCTTTTTTTACTGGTACCAGGGATTCCTTCCTCTCAAAAATTGTTTTGAAATGGGTAATGCATAAATTAGCATAAACCCTACAATAGGGTTAATATCATTTTAAAAAAGGTTCCAGAGTAAGGCCAAAGCAGGCCATTGCTCCTGAAGAAACGGAACACTAAAAGCTGAAATCCTTGGCTGGATGTGGGATCCAACTGGAAAAAAAAATCACTCTATAGAGAAAGGAGAGCTCTCGAAATAATCCACATGGACTCTGTACAACTGCTCCTCATGAGTAGATGGCAGGAACCAGTATTTTTGAGGTCTGCTTATAAGCTGAGTGACTAGAAGCTAACGATTACAACTACACTCACAGTTGTAATATAAGGTTTAAGGACTCAAAATTCAACCATTCCCTGCTTCTTAATCACCTTGGAATTGATTTTTAAATTCTTTTTTTACATTACAAACCTCTGGAACACCAAGTTTTTATGGACTTCACTGGGTGAGTTTCTTCTATTTATTACAAAAGAAGTTATAAGTACGTTTAGAGATTTAAAAAAAATCATTGAGACCATGCCGAAAATGGTGCTTGCTTCCAAGATGGAGCCACATAGCCTAGGAATGCTGAGGGGCAGAGCGGCCTGGTCTTCCTTTCCCAATGTGAGCTCAAGCTCTACATATCAACAAAAGATAAGTAGGAAAAAATGATAAAAGATGGGGAGGAGGGTGTGGGACACAGTGGGGCAGGGAGCAGGCCAAAGGCCTATGGGAAATCAAGGTTAACCCTCACAATGGTGAGTGTCACTTAATGGTGAGAGGCATTGGGATGTCTAGGCTAGGCAGGCCTAAGCCTGCACTAGGCCTCCCCGATCATCGCTCACCTGAACTATCCCATGCTCCGTTTAATGGGAGAGCAGGGTTAAGGGCCGTTAAGTGAGGCAATCTTGTGGACGCCTCAATTAATGAGGTCATGACTTGCAACCATAATGATTGGGCTCCATTACAGCAAGTCCAGGGCTATCTTACACAATAGTGCTAATTTCCAAAGCAGCTTTAGCCACTATGTCATCATCCAGATTCACTGGACTATGAGTGCTGACCACAGTGATCATATCAGACATTTATCAGAGTTCAGGGAAAACTAATCTAAATTTGGGCTAATAACATTAAGACTTAATATCCTGTTTCCATTTTTTAAAGCAATTAAATTGCTCACATAAAAAAAGCAATTAAATTACTTGCATTGATTTTTGTTTGTATGATTATTCATTACTTACCTGGTTCTTGAGTGACATCAACCTTGCCCACACTGAGTTCAAGTTCCTTGCTGTTTCTTGCAAAAGCTTCCCACGCCAATTCCATTTGCTGACAGACAGGACACCAAGGAGCATAGCTAAGGAAAGTGACAGTACAATATAAGCATGAGCTGACTTCATTATTTGCTGGTGATTTCCAATTTATCAAAATCTATAGGCTTTTGACAGCAGTTAACAGAAAAAAGACAAGGGCAAAACATTTTGAATTCAGTATCTTGCTTTGAGTTCCAAACAGGCTGTTCTGGTTGTACTAGAACTTTTCTACGTATTTCTAAGAAATCTGAGCACAAAACATACCTTTTATGATCTTGGAACACTTTTAAGTTCAGAGAAAGTTGGAACAATAGTTTCAAATTTACAAGATATTTTCAACTCCTAATGTTTTTCAATGCAAGGATTCTGCAATGCAGCCTGGATTTGATCTTTTTCTACCATAATACTGCACCAAAAAGCAAATATTACACTTCCACAATCATTCTATTCTCCAATTTCACCCAAAAGATATGCCAAACAATATTAATTTTTTCTACATTCAATCAATGTCAAAAATCCAACTGGCTCAATTTCACAGATCATTGACACAGTAGTGGCTAATGTAAAAAACAATAAAAAATGTGTCCAACCTCTACAATAGGTTAATCCAGGGCATACACTGCTATAGGCCAAATTATATACAGGCAGTTCTTGACTTACAACCACTATTGGGACTGAACTTTCATTGCTAAGCTCATCATGGCCATTAAATGAATTTGGCTTCCCCTATTGAGTTTGCTTCTTGGAACCTTCCTCCCGAAGGTCATGAATGACGATCATGTGACCATGGGTTGCTGTGATAGTCATAGGTGCAAAAACTGGTTACAATTTACTTTTTTCAATACTGACTTTTAAAAGTTGTTAAGTGAATGTTATTAAGTCAAGAACTACTTGTACGGCATGCAAAATGTTTCAACCTCAAAATGTCTTGAATTGGAAACAAGCTATTTCAACATTACTCAAAATATTCCAACACTTTGTCCAAACAGTTTACAAACTTGGAATATTTTAGGGTGGTCACAACATTTCTAACAAGGCAGTATTGCTGTTTTGAATTCTAACAGGATGTTTGAAATTCTAAACGTTTTGATGTAGAGCTACACCCCGGATCTTATATTTCATTTATCCACTATATGTGATCACCGTATTCAACAGTGATCTTATATAGCCATTTGAAGGAGGTACACTTTCTTACAGGAGACATCTGCAGGCATGCTGACTGAAAAACTCAGTGTACATGAGTAATCCTGAGAGAACAGCTATGCTCTTTAACAGCAAAGTTGAAACACAATTAAAAAAAACCAAACAACTCAACAGCCTCACAACATAACGTCCAAATAATTAGCATAGCAAATACTCTTAAAATTCTTACCAAAAAAACAGTATTTAACACCACCCAGTCTGCTGCAGTCACCTTGCATAATGTAATTTTTCAGGAATAAAGACAAACCTTCTAGGCAGCAAACGTTTTTAATATATTAGCTCATAAAAAAAATATTCTGGCCAAGAAGGGCCCAACAAAGGGGAAAGGATGCTGCAGAAGATGCACACTTACAGTTATTTTGCAAAAAATATACCTGTAGGAAGGAGAACCAGCTTCACAATCGATGCAGTGTTTCTTATGTAAGGATTTTATACTATTGTCTATCAAGCAAGGACATCATGCAATGTTCCAGTCCCAAAACAAGCCATTTAGTGTATTCTGCATTTCACAGAACATCCTGTGACAGAACATTTTGCAAACTGCTTCTGGAGATGTTTAACTGCTACTTTTCTGCTAAAACACATACGGCTTCCTAAATTATAAAGTATATAATGTAATTCTGACAGCTAGTTTTATAATATTTTAGTGGTATCTTCAAGTCCCCAACTCACTTGATTTCCAACATGCTGCAGTTACACAAAAAATGTTATGGCCAGAAGCCATTAAAAAATAAAATCACCTATTCATGATATATTGTAGTACATTCATTAGTTCTATATTTCACTTCACAGATCTATTTCTCATCCATATGATATCCTGAACCAGATCAATGAAACCCTGCAGTATTCTATACATTTGTGTTAAGGGGGAAAAAACCCAGACATAACCAAACTTCATTGCGTGATAATTTAGGATTTCATCCATGTCTAAAAGAGGGCTAAGCTGAGATGAACATACTTCCTCTTTCAATAATATTTCTCTTTTGCTTTATAATCATGGTATTCAAATTGTGAACCAAAGCATCTCTTGGTTTCTTCATTTGTTTGGCAATGGTTCATCAGTGATTTACACTGAGAAGAATCTGATTGTTGTTTGATCAGGGTGTCTTTTACATTATAGATCTAAAGTAAGGGCTATTATTTTATATGCACATCTGACAAAGCATATGTGTGTGCCCAAATAAAAATAACTGTACCAAATATAAAAAGGCTGACAATTGCTACTTTAATAGTCTGTACATTTTTCAAAATGAGTATTCAATATATGAGTGAGTGGGTAGGAAGCAATTTGTTTTCCAACTTGTAAAAGAAGCTATGTCTTGTCTAAGTTCATGGATCTAATATGGAAAATGCCCTTGGCTGTCATTTTATGTTCATGCATGGGCAGCCATTCTGTATTTTCCAAGGAAGTAGAATAGCTGTGGATGATGTACATGCCTGTAGATAGCTATGTATGCACTTGCCTTTTGAAGCAGCCTTGTAAGCCTGGAAATAATACAAGTCTGCTTTAATGATTAAACAGGAAATGCGTTATGCATACTGCTAGTTTTCAAGAAATCCACAGAAAAACAGTTACAAAAAAAGCAACAGAAGTACTAGAATACTATTTTTTACTGTTTTGGAATTACACCCGTATATCACATACTTAATCCAATTTGTGAGTTGTTTTAACAGCAATTCTAACCTACTTCATGTGCAAAATTTGATCATCCTTATCAGAAGTGACTAACAGCTATTCATACACTGTAGACCTAATCCCTTATCCTGAACTGCATGTTTTTTTTCTTTCTTTCACTATGTCCTTCCCAAGCATATCTATGACTAATTCATGCAATACACTAGACAATCACTAAATTGGTTTGTGAGTTCAGTTTGTTGTGCGAATTCAGCCACTGCCTTCAAGTATTTTGAAAACTACGCCATTACATTATGCCATAATATTGCTTGTTTGGGCGCAGCACTTTACATATATGTAGCAATTCGTTAGCAAGGTTTAGCATGTTGCAGCAGGTGTTGTTTAGCATCAAATACCAAATAATACCTTGCAGTGTGTAGCATAACTATTGCAAGGACACTCAAGTTAAACTTAACCGAACCGAATAAACTACAACCGAACAACCAAACAGTAGGCTGGAATTCTTTGACCTGACTTGAGCAGGCACTGGATTGGGGATAACTGGATTTAATTAAAGCCCATCGAAAAAGACCTAAACCATAAAAGTTTTGTAAAAAAACAACCCAAATCTTATCACCTTCATCATTTAATTGCATTAATAAAAAGCCAACTCTCCAAAATTAAGACAGATGAACTAGGTTTATGAAGGGCATCTGACTTAAACACAGGGCAACGCCAATCCTGCTAGAAGGGGGTTCCCCCACGTTTCTGGACCGAAGTAAATGTCCCCAAATAATACAGAATACAGATAATCAGATTTGGAAGGGATCTTGTAGGTCATCTAGTCCAGCCCCTCGCCCAATAAATGTCAAGCCAGGCTATCCGGACTTGCAGCCGTAGTCCTCTACACTGCTTTTGCCTTGCAATGTGTTAGGCAAACTGGCTGGGGATGATGGTGGCTGTAGTCCATCCTCCCACTGGCGTCCTAAGGGAGAGAGAGAGAGCAGGCTGGCAGGGCTCTTCTGCCTGCATTCCCTTTCCAAGTTTGCGCGCGCCCTTCCCGACGCGGCTCAGCTTACTCACAATTCCACCATCCACTGGCCCTGCAGCAGGAGGCTCCAGTTGGACCCGCTCAGCTCCACCACGTGGCTCCTCACCGGCTCCGGCTCCGGCTTCAGGGAAGCCGCAACCGTAAGAAGGGACGCCAGGCCGGCAGCTCCCCACAGCATCACCTGCAGCGGACTTATCCTCTCTTTTCTCCAGCGGCTGCAGCAGCGCCTTGGAAAGACGGCCGCCGCCATCTTGAGCAACTAGGAAATTAAACCGCCGCCACCGAGCCGAATTAAGGAAGAGAGAGTGGCGGGACTGCCCGATTGCCACCTTTGTTTCCGGTTCGATGCGACGGGTTTCCACCATGTGCGGGGTAGAAGAAGCGTGGTGGGAATGAGCATCAGGAGCGCATTTCAGCGCAATGCGCGGGGTTTTTGGGTGGACGGGTGTGTGCCGTGTGATCGCCTTTGATTTTGGCTGTATGTTAGTAGTGTATGCATACTTCAAAATATAAAACAACTTTCTCAGGGCCAATAATTTTACAAAACTACTGAAATAATTGTGTTTTTTTTAAAGTAATATAAATTGCTGCCAATCTGCCTTCCGTTGAGAATCTGTATGCTACACGAGCCAGAAAGAGGATTGTGAAAATATCTACACACCCTTCATATCCTGTACACAAACAGTTTCAACTTCTATCCTCAAAACGACGCTATAGGGCTCTGCACGTCAGAACAACTAGACACAAGAACAATTCCCCCCCCCCTCCATGCGATCACTCTGCTAAACAATTAATTCCCACAACACTGTCAAACTATCTAAAAAGGCAGTATTACCATCATTATTCTCATCTTCCCTATTACCTTATCTCTGAATAGAATAGAATAGAATAGAATAGAATAGAATAGAATAGAATAGA